CGCGAGTGCATTTGTTCTACGTGTTTTCTCCATGTTATAAATACGGTTATGAGTTTCGGGACGTCTTAAATATATTTAAGATAACCAACCTCCCAGACGATACCCATTTAGGGCTAGCGCATAATTTGCCATTTCGAAGGGCCCGTTCAAACGTGTGGTCACGTGCCATGTCGAACGGGTACTCGTACCATACGGCACCCGTATCAAACGGGCACCTGTTTCAAACGGGTACCGTTTCGAACGGGTACCGTTTCCAAACGGGTACCCGTATCCCATAATCACGTTTGATCCAAACGGATCGACAGGTTTGATTCAAACGGGCGACCAGTTTGCCACCCGTTTGAATTTCAAATGGTTTTTTTCAGTAGGGTTTCGTTGACAAAAACGTATTCTAACTTATTTAAATGTCCTGAATGAATTAAATAAATATTGTAGTAGTTTAAGACACGTTTCCTGGAGGAAGAGAAAGCAACGTTGCTAGCGAACTACTTCCTCGACGGCGGAGGCACTTCAGATGGGCGCAATGCGCTTGTGGGTGGAGCTAAAAGATTGTTCTCAGGTTGCAATTGACTATAACATCTAGGAAACATGCGCAGATAAATAAGTTGTGATCAAAACCAAAATTTAAATCATCTGGGAGTCCTTCAAGAAGAGGTTGTGTCCCATGTCCCGGCACAAACCCACATTGGGATTGTGATATTATGTTATATTTTTCGATATAAGAATACATAATTATATAAATATACTTTTCCAAGATTTGAGCAAGACACGGAAGAATAGATATTGGTCGGTACTTTTGAACCCGATCACGTTTGTCTCTCTTATATATTTTTTTTAATATTTTTAATATATATTTTATTCCAGCATTTGATTTTTTTCATTATGTTAGACTCGGGTCTGTCGAAGCCAGGGTTGGCTTGTACGACACTACCCAGCAATGATGTTAGCCAATGCGAGTGGTAGACGGGCGTTCTTGGTATGCTAATACCAGACAGTTTAGAAGTTCAAAAATAGTTCACAAATTGCAGTCAGTATAGATATTTGAAATAATTACAAATGGCAAAATAAGAAGCACAAAGATGATTGCTATCGCTACACTATACCATCCTTCATGACAGAGTAATATTTAAACACATGGATAAATCAATGTACACTTTCAAAAAGTAATGAAAAAATGTAAATGTTTGCAAAAAAAACGGATATGTGTATACAGGCATATATCACACAAAGATGCACAGAGGCACACATATATACACAAATTTAGATCTACAGATGCGTTCACGAATACACAAATATACAAATATACAGTACTTACAGCATAGACACGGATAAAGACACAAACAAATGCCTATATGGATTCAGCACCAACTAAAGAAAGGTCCAAAGAGTTCGAAATAATTAATAAAAATGATGATAATAATAATAATAATAATAATAATAAATTTATTGACCCATTCAGACGAGAGAAGTAGGATGTGAATACGGGTACATCAAAGCCAATAAAGGCTTGTGTGATGACACCATAAAAAAGGACATATGTGTCTGCCTAGGTACAAAATAAATTAAAATTCACACACAAAAAAAATTTTAAACTAGCACACAACTACCATCTCACAAGCAGTCTATACACACATCCTGAAAAGTCAGTTAACTAGTGTCCAAGTTTAAGCACTTGAGTTCTCGTTTCAGCGTCTTCAGTGATGTCACTTGGTAAACAGAGTCCGGGAGGGCGCTGAACAGAAACGGGACATAGTACTCCCGCATACATTTGCCATATCGAGTGGAACAAAGCTTCACTTCGAAACGAGAGGTGCGACGCAATGTGCGGGATGGAATAACTGGTGTTTTGAAATCGCTATTCCAAAAGTACCGACGCACAACAGTCTGAATAAACAGAGAACGAAAATTCGGTAGTTTAAGGCTCTTAAAAATGTCAGCGCTGTTAGACAGATCCGTATTATATGCAACGCTTGTTAATATACCTTTAAGTAAAATATTAATTTTCCCTTGCCACCGTCCTGAACAGTTACCGAACACCGTTACACCATAACGGAGAAAACTGTAAGCCAGTGCGTGTACAATAAGAAATCGAATACCGACAGGCAGAAAAACTCGACTGTTAAAGAGCATACAGGCAATAGATCGCAGTTTACCACAAAGGTCAGACATGTGTAAGTTCCATGACATATCATAATCAAAATATACGCCAAGGTATTTTACATGGTCAATTGATACGATGGATACACAATTACAGGGATTACAGCTTGATGCATGGAGAGAGAACTGCACATTACCCTGATGTTTCTTTAGGGGGTTGTGGAAACAGACAAGTTTTGTTTTAGAACTGTTAATATCTAGAAGGTTGTTCGTAAACCAATCCATTAAATGCGTGGAGTTGGCCTGGAGTATTTTGAGCGAATCAGAGAAATTAATATGACGCGCGACAAGGAGGGTATCGTCGGCATATTGGCATATGGGATAATAATAATAATATTTTCTTTATTTTCAGTGCCCCAAAACAATCATAGTGGTCTTCTCTCGTGCACTCTATAATTATAAAAAAGAAAACGCTTGTTACCATAATATAATCACAAAAAAGCTATGAGTAAATTACAAGGATATTCAATTGCTGTTGGTACAAGGAAATACATGTACAGAAATAGAAATAAGGAGGAGCGATGCAGTTATATGTTGTCTGAATCCGAGTAAGCGGTGAAGTGAAACATGGTGAACGAACGTCAAAGCATAGAAGTTATCTGGTATGACAGAAGTTAACTTGAAATTTTACTTTGCAAAGCAATGGCGGCGATTCAATGATACAGTTAAGAACCTTATGTAAAAATACAAAATCATTAATATTTCTTCTGTCAGACACAAGTGTCGGCGAAAACATTCTCAGTATGAAATTATAATAATAATACAAGCGCCTTTTGAAATATATATATTATTAACAATATATGTATCAGCCCTTTCAGAACACGTTTGATGGTCATGGCCTGTGTTTTTTGCTATTGAGCTTTATTGTACTGAATAATATTCCAAACGAGACCTTATCAACTGTTTAGGAGACGTGTAAGGCTTTCTGAAGTTCTGCGTTAAGCGTGACATCATTCCTACCATTCTCACTGAACTTCCTACCACAAAAGAAACATAATTTCTAAAACACAAGGCACTATCAAAGAACACTCCAAGATAGTTCACATAAAACACACATTTAATTGTCATGACATCAACATAATAGGTCGTCGAAAGGCACATGACGTCGGCACAAATATAGCACTTTTGATTTTGCCGGGGTAAGCAATAAAATATAATGTTCACGCCACTGAAAACTGGAAGACACATCACGTTGTGGGTTATCACACTCTGCAATAGTTGGAATGATTTTAAACCAATTTATATTATTGGCAAGATGTAACAACTAAACAATTTGGACACAAGACACTATATCATGTATAAAATTAAAAAAGAGGGCCGAGGATTGGTCTCTGAAGAACATGAGATCTTAATAAATAACTACGGGAATAACTGTCAGCAACTCGAACAGATTGCGATCGCAGTGACAGGTAACTCTCGAACCATGTAGATAACTCAAAAGATAAAGCATATAAAAAAATGAAAGCCGTTTACAATTCCCTTTAGCGCCGAATTAGAGCTCAGCTCTTGAGGAGGAGGAAGGGAAGGTACAAAGAGGGGGCTATGCCCCTCCTATTCAGCTCTCCCCCATTTAGGGGAAAAGTTTCCGCAAAAGTTACCGGGGAAATTTTTCCGGTAAATTTGGCGGGGAAATGTTTCCGCTAACTTTAGCGGGGAAAATTTTCCGCTAGATTAAGCGGGGGAAATATTCCGCTAGATACAGCGGGGAATTTTTTCCGCCAGATTTAGCGGGGAAACTTTTCCGCTGAATTTAGCGGACAAACTTTTCCGCTAGATTTAGCGGGGAAAATTTTCCGCTATATTTATCGGGGAATTTTTTGTGCTAAATTTAGCGGGAAATTTTTTGTTAAATCTAGCGGGGAAATTTACCCATCATGCACTGCGCGGTTACGCCGACGGCGACAACGACGCCGCTCAAGCTGGAAACGGGCGCCTAAGAGCTGCGCTCTAAAACTATTTATACAAGAGTAGTTTATGACTGACCTTGTCAAAAGCTTTGGTCGTTTCAATGTAGATTGAATAAGCTTTCCCCCTATTTGTAACAACTGAAGCGCAAAAATCTATAAAAGTGCATAAATTCGCCTGGACAGACCGGCCAGTCAGTAAACTATGCTAAAAAGATGTTACTTTCTGACTGAAATAAAATAACGACGGGGTATGCACAAAAATTTCGAAGACCTTAGACACTCCACAAAGCAGGGAAACAGGTCAATAATTCGTCACAACCGAGGCATCACTACTCTTGAAAGTCGGAACTATAACCGATATATTCCAAAGTGATAGAAAAACGCCAGTACTAAGCGAAAAAAATGAGGCTGATATAGATTTCAAGGGGCTTAACCAGATCATTACTAAACTTCCATACCAAAATTAAGTTAATGTTTCAAGACACAACAAAGAACATGCACCTTAGCTGGTGAAACTTTCAAAGCATCTTGAAATACCGAGACTTGGGATAAAAAAATGTCCACTGTTCTGTTCCTAAGTATCGAGTGTTCAAAATGTTCCGAAGTTTATATTTTAACGTGAATTGAAACTGATGTCATCCGCTCTTTAATTAGTATTTAACTGGGATAGATGCAGTTGACAACACACTAGAAAATTGCTTAAAGGGGCACTGACTGCTCGAAATTGGTATTTTTTATTCTATCAGACGACGTCAAGGACGCAGCCGTGATCTCCTCACCCTTTGTTTCTGCTGTCTCCAACCTGGAAGCGCCAAAGTCTTCCCTCTATCCGCTATCCCGTCGAATATCACGGGATACGCGCGCACCTCTTCCGCTCTTTTGCACTGGACCAAAAAAAGTCTATCGTTCTTGTTCCTGCTTTCTGTCTCAAGAACGGCGGCTTTTGCTGCTCTGGACGTTTTACAGAACAGGGTAAATACTTCAAGTTGACGACGATGTCACTACTGCTCGTAACCTTGGCGGTCTCGCTGATACTTGGCGAAGTCATTGACGCCGATCACGTGCACAATACGACCGCAACTTACCTGGAGCTAAGGCCAGAGCTCGGGAAATATCAAGACGAATCGAAGGTAAGCCTTTCTATACTGAATAATTCACGTCTCAGCTCTGGGCTTCATTGTTCTTTTCGCTTAGCATTTTTTTTTTTTTTTATGAGCTAGGAATAAATGCAATCGCCTTTCTGCGGAACGTGCAGGTGGCAAGCACGCAAGGAGCGCGCGCTTCTGTACGCAACTGTGCTCGGATTATACAACAGGGCGTACATCTTCGAAAGGGTTCATAGTACATAGTGTTTATGGTAAATATTCGGAATACACTGCTGGAACTAACTTGGATAAGTTAAAGCGAAGGCCACATCCTGGACGTGAGTTTTGGTAGTGACAAGTCTGAACTAATGATAATTAGCGATGAGAAGAGGGAACCCATAAAGATATAAGATATTTTAATAGTACATTTAGAAAAATACGCATATGTGGAGGTATGAGTCATTTATAGAAAGATATTTATAAGAACACAAAGGATATATACTTAGAAAATGAAAAATGATAGTGCAGGTAGTACACAACTCGAGGCTATGTGGAATTCCAAATATCTCCCTTTGCAGAATTCAAACATTTTGCAAATATAAAGCGGTCAGGGGAATATGAAAACGAGTAAAAGTTCCGGGAGTCGTTTTTCGCAATAAAGTACTGCGAATAAGGTCAGAGGTTCAATCAGGGTAAGAAAATTGGCAAAGGAGCCTGAGAACGTTGACACTGGGAGCATGAGCATAATACATGGATACAGGGGGAAATGCGCTTGTCGTCCTTGGAGAGCTGAAGGAAAATTAGTAAATTTAGATTTAAAAGAAGGTCACCTGAACTTGGGAATACTCGGTAGGCACAGGAAGTACGCAGTCAATTATACATGAAAAGTTTAAATACATAAATGAACGAACCGAACCTGAAAACTGATTTCTCAATATCTATACACTAGTGATGTGGCTGAACTCATTAGCTCAATTTAAAAAAAAATAGCAAAAAGACCAGAAACTAAAATGTGGGAGATGAGAATGCAAGAAAATATACTTTAGCAATGTACAGGTACAAGATCACATATACAGGGCATAAGAAAAAAACAGGTGCTTGATAATTGAGAGTGAAGCTCTCTTCTGTTTGAGGAGAGAACGTGCTAAGAACAAATACATATATGGTATGGATGCATTCTAAGAGAAAGACTCATATGTGTAGAGTAACCATAATTATAGGAAAGTTATGCTTTCTATATACTTAAACGCGCACATTTTTGATGTTCTTCGAGAACGCTACAAAAACTGCCAACCGAAGAATGTCAAATTTAGTAATCTAGAAGTCACCCACACAGAGATTTTTAGATGAAATGTATTAGCAGATGTAACTATACGGTGTGTTTCACAATGTTTATTCTTAAAAAAATAACGTATCTAACAAGTAAACATTCATTCGGTTTTCTTCCATTTGCGTCGTACTGATTTCCCAACTACTATGCATGTTCCCACAAAGACGGGACGCGCATGTGGCTTTGTTAGACCAAAAAAGAGGGACGGTAAAAAGAACCTCGATAACGGGACCTGCCCGGCAAAAACGGGAAATCTGGTCACCCTACATATGTTGCGTATGGCATAATGATAATGAAACGTTAGAATAGGTAATTTTTAAGTTCATGCATGGGGTTTCTTCCTGCCCTCCTTAAAAGGGTAATGGATTTGGCGAGAGCCCTCGGTTTTGCTGGAAAGGAAGGAAGAACGGAGGATTTAGATAATATAATCACAAAAAAGTAGACTACAAGACTGGAGGGGAGAGTCTAGAGAAACTTTATAGTACACAAAAAGTGTTGGGGTACGTAATTTCACGAAGGACGTAATTTATAGGAAAATTTAAATAGGAGGTGTTTTAATGTTTTAGGCTAGATAGCGCAATCTACCACCCGATACAAAGCGTACAGTCAATACCATTTGTTGACTCATTCATTAGAGGATAAAAGCAACGAGGCGACGGGCTTAGAGTGCTAAACTGGCAGCTCAAAATGACCCCCACCCGGCCGCCGCCATGTTGCACATGTTTGGCCAGTAAGTATGAGTCCTTAAAGTTTTATGTCTAGATCTTAATAAAGTACCGCGCACATACGATTCCCTAATAATTTTTAATAAGTGTACCGACGAGATAAGTCACGTTTTGATTGTTTTAAGTCGAAAATATTTGTTGTACTGAAAAGATCTCGCTTACATCATTGAAAAAAAAAAAAAAACAACCTGGGCCTCGGACAAATAAAAAAACGGACAACACGGCACACAATCTCAGATGCAGCTCAGTTTATTCACAGGAGGACCCCCATAAATACCCGTCTACGAGAAAACAAAAACAGGAAGGAGGAATGAGACACCCCCCACGGAGCTAGACAAACAGACACCAACCCGACATAAACAGAACACCACCGGTTCCCAAGGACCTGTACGATAAGCTTCTTCAAGGCCGTGCGAGCCAGCTCCCACATTAAATAATCCCCCCCCCCCCTCCACCATTCCCTCGCTCATTGCAAACCCCCAAGATTCTGAAACAACAACAAGGCAACACAAAACAATCAGAGCAAGAAAAAGCCTTTTACGCGTTCCACCAACACAAAAGACGGTTGACTCACGCGGCTATCGTGGTCACCTCTGGTCAAGATTCTTTTTATAATCATTTTATTCCTGTCTCTTTCTTTAAACAAAATTGCGGCACCTTTTCACAATGGGAAACAGGAACTACAATCACGAATGTATTTAGCCAGTTCAAAATTTGGGCACTCATTTCTCACATTTCTTTTATGTTCAAGCAGGCGGTCGTTTATGCAGTGGCATGTCTGGCCTACATAGCATATACCACAATCAAAAGGAATTTTGTACACAACCTTCTCTTTACAGCCAATCGACGGATTGGCTGTAAAGCCTTGCACACTCTTGTTTCCTGTCCTGGCTGAAAAGTGTGACTTTTTCACGCTGAAAATCTGCCTTGAAAACAACCCGCATATTGAATCTCTCCGCCAAAGCGTTTAAATTATGCGAGAACCCACGGAAATATGGAATGATGGCTGCTTGTTTCCCTGAACCAATGTCAGACCTGTTAGATGTGCCCCCCATTAGCCTGCGCAACACCCAAGGTATTTCGCAGGCTATGGTCATCACTACCCAAGGTAGTCATGACCATAGCCCGCTGTTGTCAACCGCTCCAGCTGTCTTCCAAGTGCGATCTCAACTCAATGAATGCACGCCTTTTCTAGGTCGTGGCCTAATAGACTTGACAACCCGCAACTTTACTAACTTGGAATGTGCACTGCGTCGAGAAAGAACAGGCTTAGTTGATTCTTTTTAATAAGTCCAAAATAACTGTCCTTAACGGTTTGCAACTCTAGACCTAAAAATTGCATCATCACATAGACCGCAGAGCCAGATGTGAACACCGACGCTGGTGCTGCCCTAATAATGAAATCCTTAATCTTCTCTGCGAGATATCCTTCCGGGGTGCCTAATAAAATATCGTGGACGAACCTGGGAACCAGATATGGCATTAATGACATTATTGTAATGTAATTACAATAATGAAATTACTTTTTGGAGTAATGCAATTAATTATTTCTCTAGGCAAGTAATTTAGTAATGTAATGAATTACTTTTAGCAGTAATTTCAAGGAAATCACTAATTACTTTTGACATTACTTTTGTCCTAAATTAGAAAATTTGTTTGCAAGGTTTAAGAAAGAAGAGAAAAATTATTTTGCATGGTGAAATTTTGTGAAAAAGCATCAGAGGGAATAATCGACGGCCACCTGAGCGCAAAGCCTTGTACGAAGAGCTCGGCAGACGCACAAAGGAGGGCTGGAAAGGTGAAAGAGAAAAGCTTGTTAGACATCGCTGGAAGGCAACGGCTTACGAAATCCAGGCATGACAGATTCACGGCGTCGCGTCATGACGACGATAATATATTTCGTTCCTCCCTAAGCTGACAGTGCCGTGGAAGCTGCAAGCTAACCAGAACCAATCAAACACCTTCTTTTAATCACCTGACCCGTCCCTTTTTCTGCGCATGGGTATGAACGAGGGTGTGGTTACGTGGCGAACGATAGACGTGTGACTGCTCCGACGAATATGTAGTTTCCACCGTTCATCCCTAAGCTGACAGTGCGTCAGCTTAGGGATGAACGGCTCATAGGCGACGGGCACATCACCAGTGAGTTAAACATAATTAAAAAGCTGACAAGACAAGACAAACGGATCCCCAGCCGTGTACTTCCGCCAAGCAAGGACAAACCGCAAGCTTCGACCATTGTGAACAACAGATGACCGGAATAAATAGTTAATTCCAAATGCCTCGTCAAAGCTTCAGAACGTTTCGTTCGTACTCGACCAAAGTAGGTGCCGCTCGCGGTATGCCTCGCTGCCTTCCCTTGCGAGGTTTCTTCGGAAATAAGCCTACAAGGAGATATCGCTTCCCGTTTGTTGGGAAAGTACACAATTTAGGAAGCTCGCGTCCTTACTCAACTGGCGACCCTTCTGCTTAGCAATTATCCGGGCCCTTTGTGTAACATTGCGCAAAAACTTGGACTCCTCGGGTGTTTCGGAAAAATGCTCCTTGAACGGAATGACCGAGAGCAGGTCAACTATACTCGGCGACAACTTTTCTTGGCGATGCAGTGGAGCGTACAGGCACGCGTTCCCTCTCCCGTTTTGAGCGCTGAATAAAGCTGTGCGCGGGCTCTCCTCCTTTCCACTGCATTGCCAAAAAAAGTTATCGCCGAGTATAGTGCTCGCGGGAGAATAGAATTAGATTTCGTCCGAGGGGGAAGGGAAACGTTTCACGTGACGACTCTTCGTAAAAACGAGCTGCCATAGCTCGACTTAACAGACTGACAAGGACTGCAACCTCTAAATTAGGAAGACGAAAACATATCACCATTTTAGTAAAAACCTTCACCGCTAAATGAACAGCGAAACCGGTGAGTCGACTGTCTTTCTGAGTCACATCTAAAGAAGCTATTCATCATGTTTAACACTCATGTCCCATGCGCCAGCAAAGCC